TGTTAATTGTTTCTTTTGCTGTGCAGAAGCTCTTTAGTTTGATATAATCCCATTAGTTTATCTTTCCTTTGGTTGCCCGTGCTTTTGTGGTCTTATTCATGAAGTCTGTGTCCAGACCTATTTCATGAAGTGTCTCTCCTATGTATTCGTTAATAAGTTTTATTGTTTATGGGTGTATATTTAATTCTTTAATCCATTTTCAGTTGACTTTAGTGTATGGAGAAAGGTATGGGTCTAGTTTCATTCTCCTGCATATTGATATCCAGTTCTCCCAGCNCAGGGACAATTTGACTTCATGTTTTCCAATCTGGATACACTTTATTTCCTTCTCTTCTCTGATTGCTCTGGCTAATACTTCCTACACTACGATGAATAGGAGTGGTGAGAGTGGGCATCCTTGTCTAGTTCTTGTTCTTAAAGGAAAAGCTTTCAGCTTTTCCCCATTTCGGATGATATTGGCAGTGGGTTTACCATATATGGCTTCAATTATGTTGAGATACTTTCTGTCTATACCTAACTTATAGAGGGTCTTTGTCATGAATGAGTGTTGAATTTTATCAAATGCTTTTTCAGCATCTATAGAGATGATCATATGGTCCTTGTGTTTGACTTTATTAATATGGTGTATCACATTTATTGATTTGCATATGTTGAACCAACTTTGCATCGCTGGGATGAATCCCACTTGATCGTGGTGAATAATTTTACGTATGTGTTGTTGTATTCTGTTGCAGCAAACACTTTTAAAGGGCATACTCATTTAAAAGGTCATCTTTCTGGTATTGAGAATATTTGTCATGTTAGGAGACTCAAGTTGTAAACACAAAGGTTAAGGACATTTATTTTTTAATAAATGCATTCATACTTATTGTTTTCATTTGCTTTTCCTAAATGAATTCCTAAATTTATTCCTAACTATATCATATGATCATGGTCAGACTAAGTTTTTTTTCCCCCTTTCTTTTTATCCCTGGGTAAACTAAAATTGTAATTTGAAATAACCATTCAGCTTCCCTTTTCTTGTTTGTTTGTTTTTAAATTTTCTAACTACAGTATTGGTTTCAACTTGGTGGACAGAGGGAAAGCTGAAAAAAACATGTCCAAAGAAGTGTATGTAAAATGTCCTCTCTGTATATATTGTTCTGATTTTAATGAGGTGATCATGAATCAGAATGCTGGGAACTTGCTGTTATAAACCAAGTTTAAGAAGATTTTGAGTAGTCAAACCAACCTTATGACATAGGAAGTTAGGGTTTCCCAGGATGAAATCTGAAATGCAAGACACAAACATGAATCAGAGGAGATATGGATATATTTTGATAATAGCAACTCCTTTCAAGGAGAAAATGTATGGTAAGAGAAAATACAATAGCCACTTACTTATTAATTCACACATTTAATAAATATTAACAAAGACATGTCATGTGCCAGGCAGGAGACACAAAGATGCCTAAATCATGGCACATGGTTTTGCTCTCTAATCTAGTGTCTGTGAAAACAGAACACAATAGAATATGTGTTGAAACACTAGAAGTAACAAATTGTGGGTGAAACTTCTGTGCCCTGTGTATGAATCTCAGTGCTAAGTCCAATTGGTCTAGAGTGTTGTTTAGATCTTGTGTTTCTCTGCTGATTCTTTGCCTAGATGATCTGTCCAATATTGACAGTGGGGTGTTCAGGTCCCCTGCTATTATGGTATTAGTGTCTATTTCCTTCTTTAGGTCTAATAGAGTTTGTTTTATAAATCTGGCTGCTCCAACACTGGGTGCATACATATTTATGATTGTTATGTCTTCTTAATGATCAGTCCTTTTATCATTACATAGTGTCCCTCATTGTCTCTTTTTATGGTTTTCAGATTAAAGTCTATTTTGTCAGATATAAGAATAGCTACTCCAGCTTGTTTTTCTTTTCTGGTTTCATGGTAAATCTTTTTCCATCCTTTCACTCTTAGTCTATGTGAGTCTTTATGGGTGAGGTGGGTCTCTTGAAGGCAGCATATAGTTGGGTCCTCCTTTTCAATCCAGTCAGGCAGTCTGTGTCTTTTGATTGGGGAATTTAAGCCTTTTACATTAAGAGTTGTTATTGAAAAGTGTTGATTTATTCCTAGGATTTTTTGATTGTTGTTTGGTTGTCTTAGGTGTCTTTTGTTGCTTGCTTTCTGATTTACTGTTTGTTTTCTGTGTTTGTTGGTTCCTTAGGTTGTAGATAGCCTTTTTGTTTGTTTGTTTTCTCTTCATGAATGCCATTTTTATTATACTAGTGGGTTTAGATTTTTCTTGGGTTTTTATGGCAGTGGCAGTTATTTTTCAGGAACCAAACCCAGTACTTCTTTGAGAATTTCTTGTAAGTGTCGTCGTGTGGTGGTGAACTCCTGCAGTTTTGTTTGTGTGAGAAATATGTGGTGAACTCCCGCAGTTTTTGTTTGTCTGAGAAATATACAATTTGCCCTTCATTTCAGAAAGATAGCCTTGCAGGGTAGAGTATTCTTGGCTGACAATGTCTGTCTTTTAATATTTTGAATATATCATCCCATTCCTTTCTGGCTTTTAGGTTTTGTGATGAAAAGTCTGATGTTAGCCTGATTGGGGCTCCCTTATAGGTGATTTGATGCTTCTCTCTTGCAGCTCTTAAGATTCTCTCTTTGTCTTTGAGTTTTGCCAATTCAACTATAACATGTCTTGGAGAAGACCTTTTTGGGTTGAATATGTTTGTAGATCATTGAGCTTCCTGGATCTGAAGGTCTGTGATTTTTCCTATACCTGGGAAGTTTTCTGCCACTATTTTGTTGAATATGTTTTCAATGCAATCTCCTTTTTCTCCCCTTCTGGGATACCCATGATTCAGATATCTGAGCGCTTAAGGTTGTTTGATATCTCTCTCAGATTTTCTTCAATGCCTTTGATTCTTTTCTCTTTTTTTGTCTGCTTGTGTTATTTCAAACAGCCCATCTTCAAGTTCAGAGGTTCTCTCTTCAACTTCGACAAGCCTGCTGGTTAAACTCTCCATTATGTTTTTTATTTCGCTGAATAGCTTCTTCAATTAGGCATGTTCTGCTACATTTTTTTCATGGCATTGATTTCCTTGTACATTTCCTCTTTCAGGTCCTGTATACTTTTCTTCATTTCATCATGATGTCTAGCTGAGTTTTCTTGTATCTCATTCAGTTTCCTTAGAATTATCACTCGAAATTTCTTGTCAGTCATTTCAAGGGCTTCTTGTTCTATAGGATCTAGAGCTTGAGATTTATTATCTTTGGGTGGTGTACTTTCTTGATTTTTTGTATTTCTGGTGTCTTTTCTTTGATCTTTATTCATTGTGCCAGGGGTTTCACAATCCACAGGTTTGACACTATTGCCTGACTAAGATATTGCTGGGGTTTCCAATTTGGTATGGCTACCTCAGTGACTACTCAGTTGGCCATTAGTGCCTTGCGTGTGTGGTTACCTTGGGTCATGGGCCTCTCTGGGGAGCCACCTCTCTGGTCAGCTTGGTCTCTGCTGGGCTGCTGGGTGATGGGGCAGTACCGCAGGGTGTCACTCCTGCCACTGCCGGTTCCCCCGCTGCTGCTGCTGCTGCCACTGCTCACGCCGCTGCCGCCGGCAAAACTGCTGCCAGCTCTGCTGCTGCCCGCTCCCCTGCCACCACTTCCCCCGCTCCCGCTGCTACCGCTGGTGCAGCTTCCCCCGCTCCTGCCACTACTGCCAGTGCTGCTTATGCAGCTGCCACTGCTGCCATTTCTGCCACTGCCACTGCTGTCGTGGGTGCCGCTGCTGCTGCCGCCGGATCCTACGCTGCTGCTGCTGCCACCGGTTCCTTCACTACTGCCGCTGCTGCCATTATTGCTGGCGCTGCTTCTGCTGCTGCCACTGCTGTAGAGGGCGCCGCTACCGCCACTGCCGCTGCCGTCGGTTCCTCCGCTGCTGCCGCTGCTGCCGGTTCCTCTGGTACTGTCACTGCTGCCGGCTCAGCTGCCACCAGTTCCTCCACTGCTACTGCTGCTGCTGGCTCCACTGCCGGCGGTTCCTCCTCTGCTGCCACTGCCGCTTCCGCTGGTGGGTGTGGAGTCACACAGTCACCGACTGCAAGCAGCGGCGGCTCCAACCTTTCTAGGGGCCCGCTCTGGGGTTGGCCTGGGGCAAGTCACTACCTTTTCTTCTTTCCAAGTAGGCACTGTGATTTCTTCCAGTCCCAGTGGCCCCCAAGTCTTGAGTTTCCACCACTGCCACTGCCTTCAGACTGCCATCTTGCCACTGGAATCCTCAATTTGAGCCCTACACTGGTGCCACCCTGCCAGATCCAGTCCTACAGAACTTCATTTGTTTTTGGTTTCTAATTTTAATCCATTGTGGTCTGAAAAAATACATGGGATAATTCCAAATTTTTGAATTGGTTGAGAATTGATTTGTGACCTAACTTGAGATCTATCATGGAGAATGATCCATGTGCTGATTAGAAGAATGCATATTCTGAGCTTGTTGGATGGAATGTTCTGTAGATATCTGCTAAATCCAATTGGTGTAGAGTGTTCTTTAGATTTTGTGTTTCTCTGCTGATTCTTTGCCTAGATAATCAGTCCAATACTGATACTACAAAGCTATAATAACCAAAACAGCATGGTACTGGGATAAAAACAGACACACTGATCAATGGAATAGAATAGAGAATCCAGAAATCAACCCACACACTTATAGCCATCTGATCTTTGACAAAGGCACCAAGCCTATACAATGGGGAAGAGACTGCCTCTTCAACAAATGGTGCTGGGAGAACTGGATATCCATATGCAGGAGAATGAAACTAGACCCATACCTCTCATCATATACTAAAATCAACTCAAAATGGATTAAGAATTAAATATACACCCATAAACAATAAAACTTCTTAAAGAAAACATAGGAGAAACACTTCAGGAAGTAGGACTGGGCACAGACTTTATGAATGCGACCCCCAAAGCATGGGCAACCAAAGGAAAAATAAACAAATGGGATTATATCAAACTAAAAAGTTTCTGCACAACAAAAGAAACAATTAACAGAGTTAAGGGACAACCAACAGAGTGGGAGAAAATATTTGCAAAATATACATCTGACAAAGGATTAATATCCAGAATATACAAGGAACTCAAACAACTTTACAAGAGAAAAACAAGTAACCCAATTAAAAAATGGGCAAAAGAGCTAAGTAGGCATTTCTCTAAGGAAGATATACAAATGGCCAACAGACTTATGAAGAAATGCTCGACATCAACTCAGCATCCGGGAAATGCAAATCAAAACTACACTGAGATACCATCTCG